ATGTCTTTCCAAGAAGTGGAACTACCAGTTCCCTTAACCTCAGCTAACTTGGCCTTCTTGGCCTTACTCACAATACAGACATCCTCAATGTCACGACACTGCTGAATCAACGTGTTGAAGTCTCTAGATGAAGCTCCAGCAATCCGATCTGCGATCTCCTCGTTAAGTCCCCTACGGAACTTAGAAGCCAGAAATGTCGGTGTAGGCATAGCAATCCGAAAATGTGCAAAGTTGACTAGTTCATTGAACATAGCCAAGTACTCGTCAATCGTCATCGAGCCTTGCACCAAACAGTCAAACTCTCCCTGTTTCCTCTCCTCCGCATCATAGGGAAAATATCTACCTAGTAAGCAATCCTCAAAGAATGACATGTAATCACATGACCCTGCATCTCATAGACGTGAGAGGTGTTCCTCCACCACTCATGAGCATCTCCCACCAGCATGTAGGTGGCAAACATTAGCTTTTACGGGTCTGTGCACTGCATCACCCTGAATATCTTGTCCAGGGCCTGAAGCCATCTAACAGCAGCAATGGGATCATAAGATCCATTAAAAAAAGGTGGCTTATACTTACAGAAAGACTTCAGCCGGTGGTCAATCGTCTCTCTATCCTCAGCGGGCTCAAAGTAAGGTTGCATCATGTCGGTAAGATGACTGGCACCCTCCATGTGACTCTAACTATCGTCCTGATGAATGGGTGGAGGCGGTGGCGGTGGAGGTGGTGGCGGAGGATGCTGGCCGCCAACAGGACCACTCCTCATCTCCTCCAACATGACCCTCATCATGGTCATGTTCGCCAGGCGGTTCGCCTCCAGCACATCCTCTGTGGCTTTCATGTTCGCCTCTCTGATGGCGTCTAGCATAGCCTGGTTAGCCACTCTCATGGCCTCCTGGTCGGCTTGTCGAGCCGCTTGCATCTTAGCCAATGCAGTCAGGACTGGGTCGGGTTGACCCTCTCATGTCTCTCGGTCCCTCCGAGGTAGTACATGACTCTGCACAAGTTACACAAAGAATGAGTTGATCAGGCCTATGCAATGTGGTCACACATGCATCATCATAGTAAAATCCAAAAGAACACAACATACAAGACACACAGCAAAACATCCTAAGTTATTGCAATAGATACAAGCTTTTTTCCTAGAAAGTGCTCTGATACCATAAAATGTAACACCCCGTGTATACTCGGTTTGTTAACATATCATCGTATTAATCGCTGCTTAATTAAAATACGGAAACTAACTTTTTCTTTTCAATGATGACGTCATTATTATTAACCAAGTTGATTAATTAATCATTTTTCAAAACATTGTCTGTATGTAAATTGCAATTAAACAACTAACTGAAATACCTCATTACATAAATAACTGTGTCTCTAATCACGGAACTACAACACGTAGTCCGGACAATATCCTGATAGATTATACAACTCAAGTCTAACTAAACAAAACATAATCAATGTGGCATGGACAATCCCTATGCTCACCAAATAAGGCAACAAAGCCCAACAAAGTTTCATCTCAAATAATAATATCATGACAAAAACATAAATCAGTATCCAAGCAGATCAGCATAAACATGCAATAAACAGTAAACTAAGCTCTGGCCTCCAGCTGCCTGAGGTATCAACCCCCGAGGTACCTGAACCTGAAAATGTGCCCCAAACGTGGGGTGAGATCACTAAAAAGAAATCTCAATAAGACAATGGGTCCTCAAGGATCTCTCCACCCCAAGCTCACTTACATGTGCAATATAAGCTAAAAAGCAGAATAATAATATAAGTTCCAAAATCAGTGCAATGCAGCATATAATCATGTCATGTGTGTCAAAATCCTACTGGCCAGAGAACGTGCAGAAATTACATACGTCTACAACCTACAATCAGTGCAAGACACTACTTCCACCCACCAACAGAATCACCATCTTGTATGACACTACATACTCAGGCTTACCGTCTAGGTGGAACAACACATACATATCATAAGGCACTTGCACTTAATAGCTCAACAATATTTCAAATATCAATACATGAAAACATATCATGCATATAAACCATCCCTTCATGAGTTATGGTGGAACCAACAATGGCAAAACCGAGGACACGAAAACTTACCTCCAAGCAATCAATCCAAGCCAAAGTCCACACTCGCTCATGGTCCACAAACAGCACAATCAAAATCTATTTAGAGCAGCAGTCATATCAATATTTATAATCTAAGAGTTCATGACATAATGACAACGTTCTCTTTATCGTTTCTTGCCATAAGGCTTTTCCCAAAACCCTAAGCCCTTAATCCAATTGATTCTGACTTAGATTAATTATTACAGAGGTTCAACTAACCAATCATGGGTCCACAAACCCAAACTACCATTCTGTATGAACAGAACAGTCACTGTCTCGAAATTTCCAGAATATTCGAATATTCGTCAGGGTCATATCCAAATATGATATCCGGATATCCATATCCAGATTTCCAAAACCCCATATCTAGATATCATATTCGGATATTTCGCGACAGAATGCAGATTCTGCATTTCGCGAAGATATCACTCAAAGGTTGTGTTTTTAACAATACTAAACGTCCAAGAATCCTTTTTTAGGCATATTAAGACTAGTACACAAGCTAGTTACTTAATCAACTCACTAAACATGCCAAGACTTCATCTTTCAACTTAGAAAACTCAAGACAAGTAATGGTGCTTATCACCCAAGATTAAAACAGAGGAAAATGGTGTTCAAGGAGCTTCCAATGCAGCTCCCTAGTACTGCAAATGCAAAGCCACGAATTTGACCATCAAAGCTTGGTTCTTTGCTACCAAAATGGCTTCTTGCACCCTCATACAACAAAGAAAAGGATCACACAACTCCACCCAAGAACTCAGCCCTCGCATACTTAAAATGGAGGGTAAACAACTCAGAAAGGCACCCTCATCTCCCTCATAATGTTAATCCACACCAAGCCATGGTGTTTTGATGAAGAGAAAGTGAAGAAAGGTGATCACTTTGAGAGGTTTTGGAAGAAAATGGAGGTGACAAGGTGAGGTTCAGAAACTGATGAAGCACAAGAAAAGAAGAGGCACGTAGCATGCACAATTTGCCTAGGGTTTAGTGCAAAATTTGTATTTATATGCAGATTAAGTTTAATCACACTTTATTAGCACTAATAGCTACGCTTAGCATTTTAATCTCAAACTTTGGATTCTGGACCTAGCCATTTTTCTAAGATTTGTCATATTTTTATTTTATTTTTCGCAGCACTTTGCCGTTACGCGCTTTAATGTAGCCGGTATCAGTTCGGACATCAATTCTCGTTATTTTGACTCCAAACTTGTTTCAATAGTCCTATATATTATTCTAGTGATATATACATATTTTTCATAATTTTTTGGGATACTTCATCGGTACGCGTTTATACCGTGAGGAAGAACCGGTATCTGCAGTTTTCGTCAGAAAAGCGACTTTTAGCGTTATTAATTAATTACTAAAATTATTTAAGACTTCTCATAATTATTAGGGTCAATTATGGATTTATTTTCTAAATTCACATTTAATTACATTAAATTCCTAAATTAACAGTGCAAATTCTTACAGCTCTTGTTTCGGGTCAGCAAAAAGGCAACTAGGGTCCCGCTCCCAGGTGAGCGAACGGGGGTCAGGGGGAAGCACCTCTAGTCCCGTAGAGGCTGGGTATTGTTGTAGGCCTCTAATCTATTGTAATTTTTCCTTTTCTTAGTAGTTTGGGCTTGGGCCCATGAATAGCTGCTGTTAGGGTTCTTCTAATCCTACTTATATTCTCTTTGTAAATCGAGTGACTTGTAACGAGTGGTGTGAGGTGAATATAGTATAGACAAGCTGGACGTAGCCTACATTGTGTGAACCAGAATAAATCACCGTGTCAATCTCTCTTCTCTTTTCTCTTTTCTCTTTTCTATTTTTGTCGATTTTGTGCGATTGTCGATTTCCAACATTTATGAGTTCTTCCATTTAAATAACCCTTACTTAATATATTTCTATCTAATATTAAACTTCACCCCTCACACTTGAATTTCCAATATATAATATATAAATATAAGTTTTAGACCATACTCTTCCAAGACCTACCTAAATATATCACTGACATCTATATTCTTAATAGAATTTTGCTAACCTTCGTGCACACTTGATATTTTTCTTATTTAGTGTAAATAGTGGTTATAAGTTTATGGCAAAAACATTTCCATTTTTGCAATAGAAATCTTTTTTCTGCCACGCTTATATAAAAGTTTGTAGGACCCATTTTGAAAAGAAGAGAGAGCAGAAGTTAGTGGGATCTATTCACTTTTATGTGAATGTGGCAGAGAAAAAATTTCTGCAGTAAAACCAAAAATGTTAAACCCTAAGTTTTTTCTCTCTCTAGGTTTGGGGACTTTTATTTCCCTAAAAATTAGTGATAACATAACAAATTTGAATGATTACAGCATATTGTTAAAGTAAATGACATTTAATTAAAAAATAATCAATTTGTATTTTATTCATGGTTATATAATACAGAATTAAACATATGATAATATTAACTTATAGGATACAATATTTCATACAATATAACATAAAATACTGCATATATTAAAATATGGTATCTCATGTTGCATGAGAGAATCATCTCATGCAACAAAGACAAGATAGTTGGGTCACCTACTTTTCTAAAAAAAGAAAAAATAAATAAATAATGGACATCACTATCTTATCTCTGTGGCATGAGATAAGTATCTCATGCAACATGAGATAATTATTTCTCATTAAAATATTATCAAATTTTACAATATCATGTGCTATGTTATAAGAACTTATCTTATCATGCAATGTACACTGGAAGTGCCCTTAGCATTTATCAACTAGCGGCCAATATTGTTTAATCTCGGTATTTCCATCTTCAATACAATGTCTATAAATACCTTCACATTTGTGTGGAATGATTCAAGGTGTTCACATTCTGTCTTTGAGACCCCTTCAACTTCTATAATATGGCTCCTTTCCTTTTGTTTCTCTTCGTGTTTGCTACTCAGGTGATTGCTGGATTCAATACAAAGCTACCACCTCTATCATATGGAAACCAAGTAACCATTCTCAGCATTGATGGAGGTGGTATTAGGGGGATTGTTCCAGCTGTAGTTCTTGATCACTTGGAAAAGGCTCTTCAGGTCAATGACCTATATATACATTTTTTTTTAAAATCTTAAACATTAGACACACACAGACACATATAATAAGGTGTTCATGAGTGCGTTAATTGTATTATTATTATTATTTGATCCATTCTTGAGGTTTATGATATATGTGCTAATCCTCTCTTTACCTCTTTTGTGATGCTGACGGAATTTAAGTTAAACAATTTAGATAAGCATATTTGAAAAGCTTATTTATAAGGAAACAATCACTTTTTTTCTTTTAAAAACTTTTCTCAGAAATTAAGTTGTTAAAAAAAAGTGATTATTTCTTTAAAACAAGCTAATCCAAACATATACAATTCATAGATTTTGTTAACTAACATGCATCTTTTATGAAAGGTTTAATATGGTCTTTCATAAATTAGTTTCTTTAAAGAATAATGTCGAAAATCATTTGGTACTTGATACAACTAATCTTTTCCTATAACATGGTTTAAATTTTTATGCTTCATGTTTATGGCTCACTAGTAATGATCTCTTTTGCTACGAGAAATATCCCTAGAAGAAAAAATCACCTGAATTTAACATTATTTTTTCTGTTGAATTGCAGAAGAAGGACGAAAAAGCAACGCTTGCAAATTATTTTGATGTCATAGCAGGGACTAGTACTGGAGGACTCATGGCTGCTATGTTATCTACTCCTCACCCAAATCACCCCTATCGTCCTTTGTTTACTCCTGCAGAAATCGTAGACTTCTATAAGAAATACGGTCCCCATATATTCAATGAAACTAGGTATATATATATATATATATATATATAGTGAACATGAATAAAATAAACACTCACATGTCTCTTCCAAACGCATAAGTTATTAGGTAAAAGCACATGAATCATTTTTGGGAAATAGATATCTCATGTTGTAGGAAATTAATTATGTCATGCTATAGATACAACTAATATGGATCCCATCATTTTTAAAATAAAAAGAAAAGAAAAGAAAGTAGTGAGGTCCACATTGATTATGTTTATAGCATGACACAACTATTTCCTACAACATGATACATCTATTTCTCATATTTTTTATAGTTATATTTTTAATACATCACACCATGCGCGTAGGGGACACTACATAGGTCTACTTATCCCGCGCTAATAAATTTTACAATGTTTAATAAAAAAAAATAAGAGGGATATATAAGGATCAAACTCTGGACCAGTTGATTATAGAAACTTTGGTATCATATCAAAAACTTACTCTCTCAAAAGTTTGAGCTATTAAAGAAAGTTACATGAATGATTTTTATATTTATATTTCTAACAACATCATGCAGATATATAATTTATGTGAAATTTGGTTAGATCATCGCGTCATGTATTTCAACATTTGAAAGTATGGTTAGGGCAAAGTTCAATTGGAAACGCTTGAAATTGGTACATGCAAGCTAGATATATTTTGCTTTATCGTGTTGAAGTGTTTGAATTTTGACGTTAAAACAACATGCAGCGGTTGGAATTCTACATACCCAGGTCCCAAGTATGACGGAAAGTTCTTACATGGTATAATACGTAAAGTATTGAAGAATTCACGACTGGGGGAGACATTGACGAATGTTGTAATCCCAACCTTCGACCTGAAGAAGTTGCATCCAGTTATATTCTCAAACTATAAGGTTAGTATAGCGTATATATATGTATACACCCAGGTGTATGAATAAATCTTACATCAAATTGTGATAATTAATTTGTTTGCATTTAATGGCTCTCACATTATATATAAATATGATCAACATTTAAGATTATGATTATAACTTATGTCGGTATAAAATGATCTGACTCTCCTTCACTACTCTCCCTCTCTCTCTATGTATATATAGAACCTTTAACGTAATAAATTTTGTCTAAATAATGATACCAATTTAAGTAGATTATGTGTATAATTGTTTGTGAAACTTGGATCTATGCAGATAATGACACGTCCAAGCTTAGATGCAAAAATGTCAGATATATGCATTGGGACTTCAGCTGCACCAACTTATCTACCACCCTATTACTTCAAGAACAATGATACTGAGTTCAATTTGGTTGATGGTGGTGTAGCCGCAACTAATCCGGTAAACTAACTAATTAAGACACATCCTTAGGAAATTCTTTTGTACGAAACTAAATGGTGATTACAATAAGTGTTAAATGTATTTTATAATAAATATTAAAAACTAAAGCACGGGATATGAATATAAGAATGGATTTTCTCATGTCATATGTTTATCTATGATAATCTTATTATTCATATACAAATCAACTTAATTTATAATTTTTTGATATATCTGTGAACGACTGAAATTTGTCTGACATGACTTCATTTGGATTAAAAATACACATTTTATGAAGTTTTTCACATATAAAAGGAAAAATCCTAATACAAAGCTTTCCGATTTACGAGGGTAAAGATGAGGATGGATTGTGTATAACTTTATTTTTACTTTTTTATAAAGAGATTAGAGTAAATATCGTTTTTGGTCCCTAACAAAAAACACAGTCTCCACTTTAGTCTCTTACAAAAAAAAATTAGTCTCGAGGTCCCTAACAAATTCAAAGTGGACCCGTTGAAATCGTGGTCCCTAACAAATTCAAAATGGATCCATTTTAGTCCTTTTGAATTTGTGATGAAACTAATTTTTTTTTTTGTAAAGAACTAAAGTGGGGATCGTATTTTTTGTAGGAACCCAAAAAAGTATTTATTCCAAGAGATTATATTTTAGATTTGAATCCGTAACCATTAGATTATAAACAACAACTTTACTGCTATTTTAAAATGTTTGATACATAATTAAAAATTTATATTCAGGCAATGATTGCAGTCAGTGAAGTGACACAGCAAGAAAAGATTCCCTACATCTTCCCGTGGTGGAAGGAAAGTACCAAAATCGTGTTGGTATCAGTAGGATGTGGAACTTCAAATGTTACAGGTTATGATGTTAAAACTGCTGCTAACTGGTCTGAAGCATTTTGGGCTGCATCAGGCATTGCAACTGGTGGTTATGATTATGCTGCTAAAGACATGACTGAATATTACCTTGCCACTATGTTCTCAAGTCCCCGGTTTGCACACAACTACTACCTTCGAATTCAGGTATATTAATGCTTTTATAGGTTGTGGGATTCTCATAGAGATCTCAACCGTTTATAGATAAATTTTTGGTTATAAAAAAATAAAATTAAGAGCAAGGAAAGAATAACCATTAATTCATTAATGGACGAATCTGATAGTTTCATGTGATGATCTCATAATAACACATGAAAAGATTCATTTCACTAATATATTGAGTAAAGTTCACATAGTAATAGAAAAAAAACTAAGAGTGGATTTTATGAAAATATAGTGTTAGTTGGATTAATTTATTTTAGGGGTTCGTATCTATCATGTCACATGACACAAGAAAATTTCCTACACACACAACATTTTGTGGGGCCTGCATTTTTTGAAGCAAAAAAAAAAAAAAAACTAAGGCACGCAAAACGAATCTCTATAACATTACACAATCACTTTTCTTACAACATAACTCGTGGTCCTCAATAAAATCTCTACTATTTTCGGTCCTCAACAAATTTTATGATGCTCACTTTAGTCCCTAGCAAATAAAAAAGCTATTTGTGGTCTCTAAGAAATTTAAAGTGGACCCTTTTAGTCTCTTTGAGGGACTAATATGAGTCTTTTTTGAATTTGTGAGGAACCACGATTTCAACTAAATGGGTCCATTTTGAATTTTTTAAGAATCGCGAATAGTCTTTTTATTTGCTAGGGATTAAAGCGGGCATCGTGAAATTTGCTGAAGACCAAAAATGATATTTACTCTAAAATCAAAATATAAATTGTTGAATTTTTTATTTAAAACAAAACAATATTTCCGTAAACTGTTGATTTGTTAATAGATTATCAATCAACACTAAACTTTACTATCTAAAATGCATTGTAGAATCGTAATCCTTAAGTTATAACTTATGGGGAAAGCTTAATAATTTAAATGATTTTATTGTGTGGGTCGTCACAGTTCAAAAAGTATTATGGAATAACTTTTTATAATGAAAATAATTTAAAAGTTTTCACCAAAAAAAAAAAAATTAAAAGTATTATAATAATACATAATAAATTTTTATTGACCAATGACCTATTAGTATATATATATATATATATATATATATATATAGATATATATAGATATAGATACAAGTTTAGGTAGGGCAAATATCTCCTTTCTTTGTGAGATGTCTACAGCATTTGATTATACTAACTGTTGATGAATCTTAATACGCAGGAATATAACTTGGATCCCTCCATGAATAACCTTGATAATGCTACTGAAGAAAACTTGGAAAATCTTGTAAACGTAGGAAATAACCTGCTGAAACAACCAGTTTTGAGCATGAATGTGGATACTTTTGTCCCAGAAAAAAAGCCACTTGAGGGTACAAATGCCGAGGCTCTTGAAAGGTGTGTACACTAACGGTTTGACTTTTTGACGTTTTTGTTTCTCATTAATTAATTAATAATCAATTTGTCCTTCATTGGTACAGGAGAAATTTTTGTTTTTACCCGAAAATTACGATTATTGAGAATATGGGGGAAAAGTTAGTTTTCTCAGAATATTAAGAAAAAGTTGTTTATTAGACAAAAATATTAATTAACTTTCTTGAATATATGTTTGGTTGATGATAAAATTTTGCTAAAAATAAGAGATGAATGTACAAAAATTACTCATAACAGCTGTTTAGAAACACATGATTAGAAAAAAAAAATACACAGTTGCGCAAAGAACAACTGCTACCTCTTCCAACACTGTATCGATCTTCACCAAAGTCATTAAGATGTTATATTCATCATAATTTATCTCCCAAATCCATCATTCCAGCAAAAACAAAAAAGCTCACGAGGGTTTAGGGTTTGTGAGACAACACCCAATGGTCTCTACTACAAGATAATAGCTTGGACGGTTTTGTAACGATGAGTGAGGCGATGAAGCATAGGGACCATTCGATCAAAGTCATGAAGTTGATCGTGCTGTTCGCTAGACCATAAGAACAATTATGTGTCAAGAGGGTATTTTAGTTGGAGAATTATGTGTCAGCTTTTCCACCACATGGGAAAAAAAGAATATCATGTCTTGGATGGTATTTCGAAATAGGAATGGGTAGTGTAAAATCGAATTCTGAGTATAAAATTTATCTTGACAAATTTTTAGTTTTTCTTGTACCAAACGTGAGAAAATAATTTTATCAATCCCACTTTCCCAGATTTTCTAAATAATACCATGTACCAAACACCACCTTTACGTTAAGTAGTTATATCTTATTAGTGCTACTAAACTATCACTGTTTTAATTTTATGTAGGTTGGCTGAGAGACTATACAACGAGAAGCAGGTACGTTTGAGAAAGAAAGCGATGGAAAAAAGTGGACGACCACTTACTGAAACTTCTGCATTCTCTTTTGGCCGAACCAAAACAAGTTAGGCATCATGAATAAACTTAGAATAAATGCCAAGTGCATTAGCTTGCACTATGTTGTGAGTTGTATGCTTTAGATGGAAAATAAACATATTAATAAATAAATCATGGATCGTGTATCGATGTCTAATTATTATGAAATTGGTCCTTAATTTCTATTTCTCTCCTTTTGTTAAATTTTGTGTGTTCTTTTTTTCTTGGGAGGTAAATGAACGCCCTGCGCACTAGTTGAAAAGAAATAAAAATACCATAAAAAACACATGATTTAATATTGTTGGATTTTGTTGCCTTACCCTTACGATTCCTGCGAAAGAATGAAAATTCTTGATTAATAATAGGATTAACTTCATGTAACAGGAAATAAAGTTATCTTTGTAACTTTAAAACAACGTCGTTTTAAGGTTTAGAAAAAAAATATAAGATATTTTAATAAAATTCATAATACAAAAAGAATATAAAAATTTTAAAATACCCTATATTTTTTTCTTAAATCCCAAAACAGACATCTGTTGTACAATAAAAACATATAGATTGACCCCAAAAATTCTGGCTTACTAAAAAACCCTTGAACATCTTTTAGTTCATCCCAACTATTTAACAATTTTTTGAGAAGATGTAGTGTTACCACGTCCTTACCTGCTCCATAATAACAAGAAGCTAGAGCTTGGTAACTTTCTCTTTGATGGAAATGATTCGTTAAAGCTGTCAAATCTCCCAAAACTGATAGAGCAAATGAAAGATGGTCTAAATTATATTGAAGGATCCAACTCAATTATGATTAGAGAGACATAGCCTCTTCTATATTGTTGGTAAGTACAAAAGAGTCGTACATTTGAGAATGCAGATAATTAGGCGGTGTTGCTTTTCTTCCATTATATAGAAGAAAAACAACAAATTTTCTCTTAATATTTGCTGTATTATCTGCATCAAGATGCCATTAACGAAGGAATTAGGAAGGTGCATGATTCGGTTTAGTTCAATTTTCTATACCGAATCGGAAAAATAATTCAATTCGGGTAATGCAAACAAGTTTTAAAAAGTGGTTTGGTTGTTTAACTAGTTTAAAGAAAATGATTTGGAAAAATATAATGTGATTCAATTTGATTCGCGATTTGGTTCGGTTTTTAAATGAACTGAATTGGTAAAGTTGTTTGGTTTTTGAATCGAACTGATTTTAAAAAAATAGTTTAAGCTTTAGCAATTTAGTTCGATTCAAACAAATATTTAGTGACGGAGCTAGGCTTCAATTCGAGTCTGGGCCAAAAAGTTATGTGTATTTATTTTTCTTAATTTTAGTTAATTCATGTCATAATATATTTAAATTATATTAAATGTAGCACTAAAAAGAGTTATAATTTTATTAAATATTTTTTAATTTTACTAAAAATATTTTTTTTACATAAGTGAAAATTGAATACATAATCTAATACAACTTACCCAAATCTTATTTTAAATTTTAGATAAGGCCAAATTACAAATTGTAGCCCGAGTCAAATCATAATTTTAACTCTGATCAAATTATAATTAATTATATAATTATAATAAACACAATTTATTAAAATTTAGTTGGAACGGAGGCTATACATGGCTCCGCCACTGCAAATATTATTCTTACAGTGGGATTTGGATTCATTTACGATTTAGTTCGATTCATTTGACTTTTTGCACACCCTATAAAGAACATACCCAAAAAATTTCTTGAGCCTTATCTCATTCGCAACACAGATTTTATAACAACCCAATAGAATGTTGCATGGCACCAATTAAATACAACACAATATCAAAACATAAAAGTAAATTCAAATTGATGACAATTAAATATTCTAGAGAAAAGGAGAGACTAGGCTTATGGACTTATCCAATGCCAGCACGATACACTAAATGGAGGCATGGCATCATTACTAGCAAGTTTTTGCTGCATAAGAATGGTTCTTCTATGATGCATTGAACTCAACCTTATTTTGATGATAGCGATGGTGGTTAGCATAATGTTTAAAGCTCAGCTTCACCATTTTCCAAAGCATATCCTCTGCTGAATCAATCTTCCATTGGTCACGTTGGCACCACCCACTGGTCTTACCAGTTTTGAGGTTAATGTAAGCGCACATGCATTCTTGAATTGTCTTTGTGGCATTTTCGAAGAATTTTGCTTGAGGCACACAATGATCCTTCTCTTGTGGCGCCTCGTTGTTGCTTCGAATGGTGGTGATTGTGGAGTTGTTCCCTTCTAGCCAAAGTGGTTTGAATCGAAAATAAAAGCAAAACAAAATAAAATAAATCCAAATAACGAAACATAGATTAAGTTATTCCCACGATCGAAAACAAATATAATCCAAAAACACACGAAGGAACGAACACTCAAAAACAAAACCCATATGCATAAAATTTTATTTTTTTCGTTAGTGTGCTTACCAGGGCTTGATTTTGAACTAAGTCCATAGAGAAAGAAGGGGCCTCCACGTTTCATGATTTCCACTTGAAAAGATGAAAAATTTCACTTTTCCTGTTAAGAGGATTGAATTTGCCTCTTGAATGGATAGTGATTTTAGTCCACAATGTGTTCAATTTATAAAGGCTGAGAAGGGTATAACGCAGCAGGTGGCACGATTATGTTCATGGGGGGATGTTGACTTTTTCTGATTTAAGAGTCATTTATTGTGGTTATATAAAAAATTGTTTTAATATAAACAAGTGATCAATTAAATAAAAAATACATTTTGGTGATAAATTTATTAATATGACAGTTAATTATAAATTTATTTTCTCCCTAATTTGTTTTTCTATTTAATGATTTTCTTATTTTTGTTTGTTGTATTTTCTTATGCAGCAAGAAAAAAATCCATCAATAAATACTTTTCTTAAAGGATGTAAAGTTGTGTCATTTTAAGTTAGAAAAAGAGAAATAAATCTTTGGTGCTACTGTTTCACCTAGATTCAGTATATCCGACCAATGAGAATATTACACATTAGAGGAAGAGAGAAAACTTGGTAGAGGAGAGACAATTTTGGCTGACATGTAATACTCTTATTAGTGGGATGCACTAAATCTAGGTGCAACAGTATTACCAAGGACTTATTGGAGAAAGAGATAGATGATAGAGGAGAGAGGAGAGAGGAGAGAGTGCACAAAAAAAAATAAAGATGTGGGTCCCATCTTTTTGTGAGAGTGAAATGACATAAGTTGTGTCATTTAAAAGGACAAACATTTTTTCTTTTAATAAATATTTTTTTATCAGTTTTATAAAGTATTTATTCAATTTGTACCATAAAGGAAATTTTACGAATAAATTTACTTTGGAATGATAACGTGTGAAAAGTTAAACAAATTAACAAAATACACATTATCACTTGATTTACGATCGTGAATTATATTTTTTATGTTGCATCAGATAAAATTATCTCATGCACACATATAAAATGGGTAGGATGTAACCAAAAAATAATATGAAATAATTTTATTTCATGTATTTTACAAAATATAGATCTATAAACTTTGTCTCCATATTTTTTGTATGAAAGTGCGTCATTATTATTACATTTAGCTTCTAGATACGTCTCAATATGTGTTTATAAAATTGTTTTATTGTAAAAAAAAAAACTGTTAATAATTAGTAATATAGGTATTTTTTCATTAACATAAAAGTGAATATGTAGAGGGGCTGCCAAAAGAGATATGGGCGTACCCTTAAATCTTTGGTGTATAAACATAGATTGAAGTTTGTTGTTCTTTTGGAACCTAGAACTAAGAGTAGTAAATGTGTTGCTCTTATGAAAAAACTAAAGTTTGACAAGTATTGGGTAGAAGAAGCAGTTGGTTTTTCTGGAAGAATCTAGCTAATTTGGTCTTCTAATTGGGGTCAAGTTGAAATCATAGATCAAAATAGCCAGATGATTCACATGAAAATCCAGTTGAATTGCAATATATCTTTCTTTTGTTTAGCTGTTTATGCAAGTCCTAGGGAATCTGAAAGAATTCATCTCTGGGAGAATCTAAGAAACATTAGCACTAAATGGAGTAACCACCGTCGAGTTTACAAAAGACTTGATAGAGTTGTTGTCAACAGTCAATGGAGGCTTCTTTTTGACAATGCTCAGGTATGTCACCTTCCTAGATTATTGTCTGACCATAGTCCATTGTGGGTTAATTTGGATAATAGTGTTTCTCCGGGTGGAAAAAAGACTTTTAGGTTTCTTGCAGCTTGGCAGGAACACAGTGATTTTCCTAATCTTTTGAACTCTCATTGGGATACCAGTTTTGATATGCCTTATATGCTTCAAAGATTTATTCTTAGACTTAAGAGCTGGAACATAAAGGTTTTTGGTGACATCAATTTGAAAAAAGATAGAATCTTGAAAAGAATTAGTTCTATTCAGGATCAGTTGTTTACTAGGAACTCTCTTCATCTTAAAAACCTTGAAGCTGATTTACAAAGGCAGTTGCAAAGGGTGCTAGAGGAAGAGGAACTCTTATGGTTTCAGAAATCAAGGCAAAAGTGGTTAGAGGATGGTGACCGTAATACAAGGTTTTATCATCTTAATACTGTTATAAGAAGAAACTGTAATAGAATATCCAGGCTAAAGAATGATGCTAATGCCTGGGTCTATGATGAGGAGGGGCTCAAGAAAATGATTCTTGCCTATTATGACAATCTGTTTACCGAAGATGTAGCTCATAGGAGGTGGTTGGGGTCTTTAAATATGTGACCTTCTCTGCCGGTTGATGACATTAATAGGATGGGTTGTAAGCCAAATAGTGAGGAAATCAGAAAGTGTATGTTTGATATGCAATCCCTAAAGGCTCCTCGTGTTGTTGGATTCCCTGCTTTATTCTTCCAACGTAATTGGGATACTTTGAAGACTCAGGTGGTTAGTTTTGTGCAGGATGTGTGGAATAACCCTGATTTGATCAAAACGATAAACTCTACATCAATTGTGCTTATTCCAAAAATTCAAAGCCCTTCTCATATTAAGGAGTTTAGGCCCATTTCTTTGTGCCCGGTCTTGTA